GGAGATACAAAAAAAGTTTAAAAGGTTTTTAATTTTATTTGAAAGAACTGATCATCTCGATAGAATGTTTAAAAAAATATATTGCTTGTGTTGACGGTGTGAAACAATGATTAGTTTCAAATTAACAGTTTTTGTTATTATCTCATTGTTATTTCTCATTGATCAATTTTTATTGATCATTGATTACTTTTATTCCTCGAATATTTAATTACTGTTTCGATACGTTAAGATTCCCACTCGTATGTATTATATTTCCAAAAATAACGATGATTTACATAGTGCTCACATAAGAAATACACAAATATAAACAACCAGAAAATTAGCTTGCGCGAAGTTATTTAGATTTAATAATCTATAGTGTTGACAGACGATGTTAGATAATGTTCATAAAAGATAAAAGAGTAAAATGATAGTGCCCGTAAACCACTAATCACCTTTTTTACTCGCACATCCGTATGAAAATTAACTAAATTTTAAATAATTAAAATTTCTCCGGGGCCTCTTGCGAGGCCCCCCCAGGCGCGAGGCCGTCGGCGGTCGCCGACACCGCCGACGCCTAGCGCCGCTACTGCTAGTGGGGTGTATGGTATTGTGCCTTAAGGCAAATTACTGGAACTTCCCGTACCGTAACGAAATGTTCCAAAAATATTGAATGTTTTCAGATAGATTATTATAAATATTGTAATATTATCTAATATTTATAACAATTGTATAAACTGAATTGCTGAATTGAATGAACTGAATTTTTTTTCCAAAATCAATTATTTTGTTAAAACAAGCAGGAAGTTCTTTGAATCATTTAAATCGGCACTTAGTTCCCTCAAAAACGGCCATTTTTTGCACATTTAGCTCTGTATCTTTGAAATGGCTGGGCCTGCCTTTGCCAAGAACTAATAACCATTTCTCCAAATCATTACCAATTGAATGCTTTTTAGATCATTTAAATCGGATGCTCCGTTCTCTCAAAAACTCGATTTCTATTTTCTGCACTCTTTGCTCTTTATCTTCGTAACTGCTGGCCCTGCCATTGCTAAAAACTAATCAGCACATCTCTCTTTCAAAAGGAATCGAATGTTTTTGAACCATTAAAATCGCTTGATCCGTGCGCCCGAAAACGTGACAGAAAAATTGTATCCATACATATATATACACACACAGACACACACCACACATACATTTTTTCTGAGGTATGCCAAATTGTTCAGGAACCTTCAAAACGTCGAGAAATGCAAAAATTTTCAATTTCGGTTTTTGGACGCTTACAATAACTTACCCTACGGGAAGTTAATAAGCCATAGGATAACTAAAAAAACTCCAATTTTTGGCAAAATTCTTTTCTTTATACAATATAATTTTCTTTAAGGACGATATACCAATTATAGCGAACTTCGAACTTTTCGAGGCCGTTTTTTTCAGTACCATTTGTACTTTGCCACGAAATTCGGCGATCATCTCTTTATTCGGCAAAAATTTCTTTACAGCGAGCATGTTTTTGAGATATGGTACAGGATATGATGGTCGCTGGGAAACAGATCTAGAGAATATGGTAAGTAGAGAAGCAATTCGGAGCGCAATTCATGTTTTTTTATGCCATTGTTTTCACGGATTTGTGATTTGGTGCGTTGTCCGAAAAAAAGCACTGTTTTCTCTTCAAATGGGGCCGTTTTTCCGATATGAATTTTCTAATGCTCCAATGACGTTAAACAATAGTCACTGTTGATGGTCTGGCCTTTCTCAAGATAGTTGATGATTCTTTGCGAATCCAAACAAACTGACATTATTGCCTTGCTAACGGATCGTTTGCATTTTTTCTCGTCACCGTGTCTAGTCCACTCGGCTGACTGTCTAGTAGTCCGGAGTGTACTGGTGAAGCCAGGTCACATTCATGGTAACATATTGATGCAAAAATTCAGTTTTTTCGATTAAATAGCTCCAAATACTCTTACCAATCATCAACTTTTTCTGATTGAGCACAGAGCTTTTTTCTATTCAAATCTTTGTGAACGATATGTCTAACACGTTCTATTGATATCGTTTAGGGTTTTCCTTGATTTGGCAGAGTTCAGATAACACTTATTAAGTAATACTTTGGCATCGATTGTATTTTTACCCATCAAAAAGCAATGATACATCCACACACAAAATTGCTTTGAATTCATGGTTTTGAAAAACTCAAAAGTAGCGTCACATGAACCTCTGTAACTTGTAAACTAATTGTCGAATTGTCATGAAATTTTGACATATATTTTCTTAAAATTGGTGCTTCCTACATAGCATATGGATTATTACATAGCAACACGACCTATGTGTCAACTTTCGGACTTGTTGAGTGACCTATTATTCATCAGCTTTGTTTAAATAATTATATTGGGCTGTGTTACATATTTCTAAGAATAAAAGTCATTGTAATACATTTTTGTGATTATAACTATTGTTCGCGCCAATCAAAGCATGCGGCTATATTGATATAGAAAACAAAAAATCATCAATAGAAAATTATACAAATCAATCAATCAATCAGATCGTTGTCAAAAACAATATTAAAATTATTGTAAATATACTTATAACTTGCTATTAATATAAAATAAATATATACAGTTATAATCAAAGTATTTACAATTTGTCCTTCATAAGGCAAGCAATCAAATCAATCATTTTAAAAAACATTGGTCTTTACGAGCTGGATTTAACCATCCTAAAAACATTGGTCCAGACGAGACGGATGTGACGTCCAGCAATCGAAGGAGAAATCAAGCAAAACAAGCATAAACCAAGTAAATCAAGATTAAATAAAGAGGAAGATCAAAATCTAGATAGGAAGTTCAAATTTGGAGCTACAGCTACAAGCACAAGCAAAGCAAGAAACAAGGTTATTCAACTACATTCCCTTCCCAGATCCTGATCACTTCCATATTCAAAAAAAAAAAAAAAAAAACAATAAACTATGATTTAAAAAAAAAAATTAAAAAAGGTTCAGAAAATACAAAATTCTCCAAAATGTCTAATTGCAAAATTACAAAACTTTAAAAATGGATAACTCACGGTTCGGAAAGTAGTAGCAATTAGGCTTAAGGCTCGACGCCATGCTCCACTAGTTATTATAAAATATTTAAAAATTAGTATTCAGATTCTGCTAATAATATAAAACTTTACTCGTTCTCCAAAAGACAACATAGGCTCTGGAGAAAATCTAACGATGAATTAAATCTCATTACTAGGATTACAATGATCCTTTGAGTTTATCTAATTCAATTCCCAATTGACCCTAAACTTGTGTTAAAATGTGTTTTTATTTTATTTAATAATTATTCTAGGAAACTAATTTTAAAGCTTCGTACACATTTTATTTAAAATATTATTTTTTATTGCACATATTACACATTTTTCTTAATTTGTTTGTTAATAGTAAAACTTTCATATTTGAAGTGATTCATAAAAGTTTCATTTTTGTATTAATTTAAAAAAAAATCTCTAAATTAAATGCACTGTTCCTACGCATTTTAGAAGATAGAAGGTGAAATATCAAAAGTTATTGGGTAAATTGCTGAAGAAGAGAAGTTTATTATTTTAACAGAAAATCCTATTTGCTATTTTTGTGTTCTCTAAACGATTTAAAACATTCTTGATCGTTTGATACTAAAATTGTGTATATCTATACGGTAGAGCGGAGCTCAATATGGTCCGCGGGTAAAGATGTCCAGCACCGATATCTCAAAAACAAGTAAAGTTAAGAATTTTGTGACCACAATATTTAAAAGTAGAGGGAAAAAGATATATAACCAGCCATCACCTTGATTCTTACGACGTCGTTATTAGAAGACAAACTGCAATATTTGAAAATCTATAAAACAATATTTTCTTTCGTTGTTATTTGTTTTGGTTATGATCACCGTTGTTTAGTTTACGAGACCTTAATATAATTTTTAAGTATATGTTATTTGACTCTTTTATAAGATGTATTGTTAGTTTTAAGTTAGATTCAACCATTTTTTTTGTACAGTCTCTATGAAAGCTTACGCCTGGGTGCGGTAAAAAGGACCAACTGAACCTTTGCGCTGGCAAAGGTGTAAAATAAAAAGAACACTAGTACCCACTAGTGCCATTGTGCTTCAAGGCAAATTGCTGAAACTTTTTGTACCAAAAATTAGAATTTTTAAAAACTAAATTTTTTTGAAAACTTTAAAATTTTTGAAAAATATGACTTTATAATACAGTTTATATAATTCTTTTTGTTGGAGACAAGATCCTTCATTCCTATACCCCTTCATTAATTTCTGTTCATTCACTTGCCATGTAAACTTATATACACGTCATCGTCCTATTTATAAGCGCTTATATTTTGTCTAAAAAATATGAATAATGAAAGTTTCAGGTCTTATAATAATATATTTGAAACCATTAAATATTCTTGGAATATTTCATTACGGTACGGAATGTTCCAACTATTTGCCTCAAGGTACGAAGCCATACACCAGAAGTTTATTTTGAAATAATAGATCTATACATTTTACGAATTAGATATTCAAAAGATTTGTACACATAACTATTATATACATACCCATACGAAGTCCCCGATGCTCGAAAAAAATCAACGATCGACCGAGGCTCGGCTACCAATCTCGGCCGAGCGTCGGTGTCTGATTATCAGCCTATGGCTGGCACACCATCGGCCGCCGAACTATATTGATAATAATAATGTACGATCATCGCTTCTCGGTCGATGATATGATAAATTTCCCTTTAGGCGTATGCGCACTAAATGTCATATCAGCTGTTTTTAAGCATTATTTACCTGCAATATATACAGTCGTATGCAGTAGAAAAAAAATTGATCGTTCCTATTAAATATTTTTTTTCAATTTCTGAAATAATGTCCGACCGTGTAAAAAAACTTCGGGCATTAAAAAAGTACATGGATATTATATCCCTATCTGATACACCCTCTTCGTAACTGTTTCTATTCATAACAAAATTGATCGAGATCATAATAATTCAAATAGTGAATTTGGTGAAACTGAATTAAGTGTAAATAATCAAGTAAATGAAGAAATTAATTATAGTGCATTTATTAGTGGTAATGAAAGTGACAATGAGAACAGTTTTAGTGGCTGTATTGATGATGACAATCAGCGTAGATACTTGGCAGAAAGTGAGGTTATTGTTTCTAATGAAACAGATACTGATAATGTTTATAGTAATCATGAAAGTATTGCCGAGGAGAACGTAGTGGAATCAGACACAATAAGAAAAGAGCTTCGTCAGTAAGCTTTAAAGAATCTGGATAGCCTTCAATTAAATGTAATTTCCGAATTACTTGTATCATTTAGAGAACAAGGTCATCCAACACTGCCTTAAACGGCCCAGGCATTACTCCAAACTAAACATCACCAAGTGGTAGAAACTATAACAAGTCTGAAAGAAACTGAAAGTTATTATAAATATCTTGGTGTAGCAAGTGGATTAAAAAAAATTATTTCACCGCGTATATTTTCTGAAAATACAATTGAAGTGCTTATTCACATTGACGGTTTGCAAATTTATAAAAATTCGAATCTACAAGTTTGGCCTATTACAATTAAATTTTTTAATAGAAATTATATTAGTCATCCGTTCATAGCTTCCATATACTGCGATGATTCAAAACCTGCAAACGTAAAAGAATATATTTCCGAAGTAGCCGACTCGCAAGCAAGGTCATACATTAAATGCTGCAAAGCAGCAGGTACATTTTATGCGTGCGAAAGATGCACTGTCAAAGGGATGTCTGTAGGGGAGAAAAAAAATAAGAAAAGGATCTATATCTAAGTATATATAGATTGTGGATGAAGCATTAGTGTGTGAGTCGGTCTTTTCTATTAGTGCAATAAATATATGTATATATACTTGGTTGTGTGCGTACGTTCATAGCAAACTCGAGTCGACTGACTAACTGCGTGTATATATTGTACATATTGACTTTTAAGTGCGACACTATCGTGTGTGCGTGAGTAAGAAGTTAATTGTGACTGTAATGTGTGCGCGTATGCTTTACTTTTGTTGAGAACTTTCAGTCAAGTGTAGCACGTGACCGAAAGAAGCACGTAAAACAATCGTAGGATCTATAAAATAAGCGTTCAACGTAAGTATTTTCTTTTTAACAACTTAAAAATCTTCAAAATTTTATTGATTCATTGTATTGTATTTATATAAACATTAATTTTTTGAATATTAGATGAGTGCTAACATTTCCAATGAGGAAGGGCCAAGTGAATATGCAGTTGTGTGATTTTACCTAGGCGGGGTCCTGGTTACAATGAAATTGATTTGGTCCCATATTCATGGCTTGATGAAATAGAAGATAAGTTATATTGCGTTTTGATCGATTTTGATTTAAATAACAATAAAAACTTTTTTATATGCTCTTGGCCTTTGTCACAGGATGTATCTATTTATTTGCAATATACGTATATTTTATATTTCAGATGTTATACAAAAAAAATTCGGTGACTCGGACCAAACAAAAAAATTAAGATCTAGCGTTTGGTCGTTTCTGGCAAATTTTGCAGACAGAGGTGGCAGTAAGCGTAAACAAGCGTAAATAAGCTGTAAAGTTTAAACTGATTTCTGTTCTATTATAATTATTACTACTATTAAGATTATGACTATTATTAATAATATTATTATAACTATACTACTAGAACAATATTATTATAATATTGTCTAAGATTCAAAAACTATTATTTTATTTTATTTTTATGTTTCCAAAGTTTTTCTAAAATGTAAACATTCTTGAATAAATAATGGTACAATATATTTTTTTTTGTAATTTTATTTTAACCACGCTTGGTCAGCAGTCGGCCATTACTCTTGGCCGATACTCAGTTACTATGATAAGCCGATCCTCGGCAACTATAACAGGATGACAGGCTCGTATACTATCCTCGGCCGATGCTCGGTTACTATCCTCGGCCGATGCTTATTCGGCAGTCTAGCGCTGATGTTAACATCCGATGCCCAGCGGGTCTTGCCCCGATGACACATTCTGATCGTCATCCGATGCTCGAGGATCGGCTGACTATCATAGCCTGATGATCAACCGATCACCATTCTTTGTATGGGTATCTAATATAATCTCTATACATCGGAGAATGGTTAACTGATGAGCTTTTCGTGAGAATTTAGGTTAAGTCTTCAAAAATCAGCTCAAAAAAGTAATATAACTAATAAATATCATATTACTATAAATATATTTTTAAATAATTGTCGGTCATATAACACAATTTCAATATTAGGCTTAAGGGCGTTTTTTTATATTAGTGTCAATTTTTTACTATAGCTAACCTAATCTTCTATGTAAATACAAATAGAAGAAAAAAATTAGATCCCTACAATATTGCCAATTTCAACCATTGCTTTGTTAGTTTTATGATCGCTTTATTGTTGCCATAAGTAGGCTAATAGTAATAGTTGCCTAATCTAAAAATATAGAAAAATTATTGTGGAGATTTTGCAAATAATTCAAAATAGCGATAAAAATCGTACAATATCTATCTATCGCTAACTAAGCAAACAACCGTGTTTTAATAAACATACCAGTCTATTAACGCTTTCTTTCATTGAAAAAATATTCAAAACAGCTGCATTTCGTTTATACCATCTGTAGATTTTTTTTGGTCAATCAAAACTTTATTAAAGGTTTGTAGAAATGGACGCCGAAAAATTATCTCTTATCTAACAGTTTACTTGTTCAAAAAATTCCTTGTATAAGTTGTCAATTTGTCTACTTTTGTACCTGCCTACCTGTCCACCTGTTCACCTGTCTACTTGTCTACCTGCTTACCCGTTGACCTGCCTACATGCCGAAATTATATGCATAACTTACATTAGTTACTTGAAAAGATAGATAAAAGAGATAAACATGCAAACGACGTTTCAACGTAGGTCACTGGCCGATAATATAAACAAGCATTCAATCCACAATCGATGCATGTTTTTTCATAATTTTTTTTTTTTTTTTTCATAATTTTTATTTGGCCTCGCTTACTCTGAGCATTTAGCCACCTACAACATTTTATTTACATTCTATACTAATTTTTTATATCAAATTCAATTTATATACAGATTCTATTCTTCTATACTAGATACTTTCTCTCAACTTACTTCGTTCACTAATTCTATTCTTCTACTAGTTCAACTTATCTCATTCTTCCCTTTTTTTTTTCTCGTTCGTACGGTCTTTCTACTATTTCATTTTTCTTTATTTCAATTCTAATTCAATTTTTATACATTCAATACCTTATACATTCTAACCATTTTTTTTTACATTCATCTTACAATTGAAATTCTGACACATTTTTTATATTTTTACAATTGGAAGCGCCAGGGATCGAACCAACGATCTCCGGCATGTGAGTCGGACATGCTACCTCTGAGCTATGTCCGCCACAATGCATGTTCATTAATATTGCTTTATATACTCAATATTATTCACAACGAACCATCTATTTTGCATTAATTTTATCACGGTTGCTGGTTCAAATTCCGCACTATTCTGATATCAAGCTGTAGTGATATATAGCTTCAGTAGACTGAAGGATCAATCTTTGGGTTGCCTTCTAATAATTCTAGAAAAGGATCTGGGCGTGTTTCCATACAGAATTGGCCCCACCTTGGTATTTAAATGATTTTGATGCCATTTTATAGGTATTTTCGAGAAAATTCGATATACCAAATTTCAAATCCGTAGAGCTCATCATTTGGCCGAGATATCAGTGAAAACATGTGAAAGTGGCCCCTTTTTTCAAACTCACTTTTTGTCGGAAATATGAGAGATATCGGAAAACTGTTTACGTCATTCTATTTGTAACTGATCTTGTCTATATTATTTATAATGAATAATGTTAAAAAATTGTCATTTACTGGATGAAAACTTGAAAATAAGTTTTTATTTGAAATTTTCGACCAGTACGGTTAATTTGACTACTTTCTAAATAGCATCATTTTAAAGCCTGTATATTTTACTTTTATTATCCAAAATTATATTTAAATCAAATTGGAACTTTTTATAAAAAGTTGAAAAAACCAAAGGTAGTACACGCGGTACCCGTAGAATATCCGTGTAAGTAGCGTCTCTTAATAGCAAACCAGTGCACATTGCGCTTGGCGCGCATCGGAACATATTCTATATAAAGGTAATACTTATTTAACAAATAAAACTAGATATATACAATCATGTCTTTGATATTCATATATTTATGTATATAATTATTGTGGTTATATATTTATATACAATGGTTTTTTTTGTTTTGAAATTATACCTAAAACTTTATTTGATTTTATATTTTATATTGTTACTGTATATTAGTTTATAACGATAGAAATACATAAATAAATAGTCACTATATTTACCATAGTAATATGGAAGTTAAGTTACGAAGTTATTAAGACACTTTCAATCGTAGTCGCTATCATTGTTAATAGAAACTGTTATTAACATTGTTAATAGAAACTTTTTAAACACTTGTTTATTGCAGATTTTGCAATTTTCCGGCATTATTGTTTCTATTAAGTTTATAATTATGAAATTACTAAAATACCCACTAAACCACCAAAGCTCTCACTAAAATAACAATGGATTTGAATCAGAAAAAATCTAAATACAGATTTCACACAGAATACAAAAAAGCAAACAACTAAAATAAAATAACTGTGAAATCTATGATAGTAATTACCAAAACATTATATTTTTTGATATATTATAAATTCTTGAAGTAACTATACTGGAAGCAGCTTAAACACAAACTGATGCATTTTTAAAAATAAAATTAAGTAACAAAGCTAGAGCATTTCAAATTATTAAGAATTTTTTATATTATATTCTATCTTTCTATCTATCTATCTTTGTATTATTGCAGTATCGATAAAGATATGACAGAGTAAAGAACGTATTTTTATCTCAATATTCCAATTGTTATTCAAAGAATAATTGTATATTTAGTTTTTATTGTGAGTGAATGGTTGAATGCATCATTATTTTGTATACACAAAATATAAATATAAAAGACATAATATTTATAACAGAAAGAACTACAGTTTCTATTAACAATGATAGCGACTACGATTGAAAGTGTCTTAATAACTTCGTAACTTAACTTCCATATTACTATGGTAAATATAGTGACTATTTATTTATGTATTTCTATCGTTATAAACTAATATACAGTAACAATATAAAATATAAAATCAAATAAAGTTTTAGGTATAATTTCAAAACAAAAAAAACCATTGTATATAAATATATAACCACAATAATTATATACATAAATATATGAATATCAAAGACATGATTGTATTTATCTAGTTTTATTTGTTAAATAAGTATTACTTTTATATAGAATATGTTCCGATGCGCGCCAAGCGCAATGTGCACTGGTTTGCTATTAAGAGACGCTACTTACACGGATATTCTACGGGTACCGCGTGTACTACCTTTGGTTTTTTCAACTTTTTATAAAAAGTTCCAATTTGATTTAAATATAATTTTGGATAATAAAAGTAAAATATACAGGCTTTAAAATGATGCTATTTAGAAAGTAGTCAAATTAACCGTACTGGTCGAAAATTTCAAATAAAAACTTATTTTCAAGTTTTCATCCAGTAAATGACAATTTTTTAACATTATTCATTATAAATAATATAGACAAGATCAGTACAAATAGAATGACGTAAACAGTTTTCCGATATCTCTCATATTTCCGACAAAAAGTGAGTTTGAAAAAAGGGGCCACTTTCACATGTTTTCACTGATATCTCGGCCAAATGATGAGCTACGGATTTGAAATTTGGTATATCGAATTTTCTCGAAAATACCTATAGAATGGCATCAAAATAATTTAAATACCAGGGTGGGGCCAATTCTGTATGGAAACACGCCCATACCCTTTGTAGGAAATACAAACTACAATGTTTATTAAATGTTACCGTGTTAAATGTACACGACGTAATGGGAAATCAGGAAATTCTAGCAATGATACCTTAATTTTGAGGCAATAGGGATGACACGTAAAATCGTGGTTTAGAGCGATAGATGCAATTTGTGAGACGTATGAAGTGTCACAGATAGAATTAGCCATATTCTTGGTGCCGCGCTTGAGTTAACAGGCCAGAAAATGGTACAACGCTGATCCTGATAATGTAAGATAATCGTAAGATGACTTGAAGAATATGGTGTGTGAAGCTTTCCAGTATGAATTATTACGCACTAAAACTGAAATATTGGAGTCATTGCATAAGGAAAATTATAATAGTCTGGACCGCAGTACGCGAGTGCAAGCATGAAAAAATAGGTGTGAGGAAGAACAGCATGCGGAGCCAGAATGGCAAATGAAACCAAATAAAGATGTTATTAGTCGCCAAGTTAAATCAGTCTTGGTTGATGATATGAACTGGAAAAAAGAAAAAAAACTGAAAAAAAGAAATTTGCAGCAATACAATACGCCTTGATGAAATTGAAAGAGGAAGAAGAAGGGTAACGAAGACAATTGGAAGAATTCTTTCGTAAAGAAGAAGAAAAGAATGATGCTGCATGCTGCATCGAAA